AATAAGCATACGTCGTGGTGATAAAAATGACAGCACTAAATACTTAATATTATTATAGGTTATAACTGCTGGATGGGTGCGCTTTTAAAAACCATAAAATTCTTACACTATTTCATCCAACCACAGCTCTCACATGTCTCTATCTCTTCAAATGTTTACATACGGTACTCGCTCAGGGCGCATGTCCTTCTCATTTAGTGTAGTGGAACCTTTAAGGACAGGGTACAGGTCTAGCTATGTCGTCTGCTGTCAACATATCCGTGAAGTCTGTTGTGACTATATCCGTGAAACTGTTAGGGGACGATACTGTAGACAACATTATTTTCACGGACCACCCTGTATACATGTGACCGTGACCGCATGTCTGTTTGCACGGGTTAAACCTGAACTTCAGTCACTGTCTTCAACAGTACATATACGTTACACACACATGCTTCATTCAATCTTAGTCAGTCAGTAAAGAGAGACACTAAACTCAAGATGAAGAAAACATTGTAAGTCTTTAATGCTTCATTAGGCTAACACCTTCATAGTATATCTCATGTTTACACCTTGTCAAATGATGATCCGTGAAGCATGAGGCCATGCTTACAATTTACGGAACTGAAAGTCTCTGAATGGCTTTGACATTACATTACATTACATGATAACATATCTGTGACAGATACAAAAGTAGTCCCCTTTGTAGTTTTGAGTGTCTTAAGTGTGTTTGGGGATGTTAAATACAGGTTCAACTACAGCGTTAAGACAAACTCTCTGCAACCCCAGAATCCGGAAAGTGTATCAATATTTGGAAAAAGGTCCACGGATCAGTCCACGGATCAGTTATAAATAGCATTACAATGTTAACGTGTATGTAGTTTCGTATGCAAGTCATTATAACAATAGATCCGCCGATTCACACACTCCGTTTTACCCTACATAACGTAGAGATATATCAGAGTTTGCCAGTTTATCTATCGTTGTGGGAGAGAGCGCACTCCGAGTTGCTGTGTTCATGGCAGATCGAAGATGGAACAAGTTGGCAACCTTCAGAGGACTATGTCACAGCATGAAGAAGAAGCTGTGCTGCTGTGCCTGGCCAGGATATCAGGTAGGTGTCTCCAACTGCCGCTCATATATACTTAATCTACCATGGTCCTACTTGCTTCCTTCCTTCCTTTCTCCCTACCCTCCTTTCTCCTTAAGTCCTCTATCACATTAGCATCCTCAAATTGAGTTGATTCATTCATAATATTCATAGTAAAGAGTTGATGAATATGAATATGATATATTTGGCGTAAATTACACAATTCTTTGTACTCGTCGTGTCATGTGTTGAAGTTGTTTTCCCCTGTCCTCAGTTGGTGCCACCAGACGAGGACTGGGAGGACGAGGACCGCCTGACAGAAGATGAAAGAAGGTCGTGTGTGTCAGAGAGGACCCTGTTCCTGGTGTCTCAACACGTGGGCGGGGGTTTCCAGATGCTGGGTCTGAGACTGGGGCTTCCGTACGTCAGTGTGGAGAGGTGCACGCTGTCACAGTCATCGCCTCAGATGCAGATATTCGCCATGCTGAACACGTGGAGACAGCGGAAGGGAAGACGGGCAACTGTTGAAGTCCTGCTTCAAGCCCTGTCTGACAGCATGTCGGTCTGCACGGTGGACATGCCTCATGTCTACAGGGTGATCCGTGAAATGTAACATTGTGTGTCACCATATACATCCACGTACAGCAAGCAGCTCTCTGGGACTCGTGACATACTTAAATATATTTCAAGTTCACTGCAGTTTTGCGAGATGTTGAAGGATAAGTATCAGTAATATTTCAGTAATGTCGATGTGTCCCTCCCATGATGTCTTGACTCCGTGTAAACGTGGGATATGTTATGAAGGTGTTGACCTAATAAAGTCTTACAATGTTCTGTTTTGTGTCTATTCTTTAAGTGAGTGAGTGAGTGAGTGAGTTTTAGGTCGCTTTTAGCAACATTTGAGCAATATCACGGTGGAGGACACCAGAAATGGGCTTCACATATTGTACCCATGTGGGGAATCGAACCCGGGTCTTTGGCATGACGAGCCAACACTTTAACCACGAGGCTATCCCATCACCCTTTCTCTTTAAGAATGAATGAAGCATGTGAGTGTAACGTACTGTTGAAGACAGTGAATAAAGTTTAGGTTTAACCCGTACAAGCAGATATGCAGTCACATGCCGCATGTACACAGGTTGGTCCGTGAAATGTAACATTACTGGAGACAGACACTACGACATACGACTTCCTGAATGTATAATTACATGTATGAACGACAAGTTTCCTTAATGTTGACCGCATTTGTACGTTACTTTGGTGAGAAAGATAACCCAAATCATTATTTTCTTCAATTGTAAACAGTGTTCATCTATCCCTGCTATGATTTAAAACCTTTACACTTTGGTTTTGTGTATCCACTGGATGTTTGCGAATATATTTCCTGATAAAACTTAAGACTACTGCCAGATGCACCTTTTCTTCATGTTTGTGTAACCGTTGTGGAGAGAATGATCCGTGCAAGGTAACGCAGTTAAAGACAGTGAATAAGTGCGGGTTGACGCCCTGTCTGATAGCATGGCTGTGTTCACTGTAGACTGGCCTCATGTATACAGGTATATCAGATACACAGGGCTACTGAGAATCTGGATACCTAGAACATGATGATGTAGTGAATATGGCGTCATACTTCACGACCGGTTATAATTACTCCATTGTTGTCATTCAACTGTTACAAAAGGAGCTTACAGTTGTTTATAATTTTGTAGTTAAGTAAGAGTAAACTTTCTTGTTATACATATTTTTTAGTCACTCTACTTTGCAAATTTCGAAATGCAGATAACAACACTGACATGAATGTTCCATTTTGAAGCAGCAGTCGTGGGCTTCTGGTAGACATTACAGACACAGTTGTGGACAGACACACCCACAGACTTCCCCATGTCCACACACATACACACACACCCATACCCGATATAGAATATAGAAAACACACGCACACGCACACGCACGCACGTTCGCACACGCATAGCGCAGAGACTGGCTGGGACGCCATGTTATATGTCCTATTTACGTATCATGAACACTGTGCATTGCTATTTGGCGGAATGGGAAGGTATCCGTGAAATGTAACACACGTAATCAGATTGCTGTTTCTAAATGGCACCAGTTGACATTAATTGTGACTGTGTATTAGAACCTGTTCGTCATGGTGACCATTATGCTACAATTGTCTGTAAACTTATCTGCCCGTGAAGATCCGGGTTAGAATTGATCTTCATTTACACATGCTCGTCGTAAAAGGCGACTAACAGGATCGGGTGGTGAAGCTCGCTGACTGGGTTGACCCATGTCATCGGTTCCCAATTGCGCAGATCGATGCTCATGCTGTTGATCACTGGATTGTCTGGTACTGACTGAATTATTTGCAGACGGACGCCATATGGCTGGAATATTGCTGAGTGCGGCGTAAAACTAAACTCACTCACTCTGTGAACCTACTGAAACTCGATAAGGAGCGAAGTCAAACATCCGTTAAATAGCAGCATTGTAATAAGCTTTAGAGAGTCGCCCTTACACGTGTGTTCTTCTTTTGTTTGCAAAGAATAATTATGCTGTCGACACAGACCATTGCTCAGTACACTGCTTGTCTAGTTTAAAATGTATCGAAAATACATTTTCAGTGTTAGGTGCGTTTATACAATATTTATAAGAAATAAATTAAACTAAAACAGAGAACTGACTTGTGGACATATTAATGGCGGTGACAGATTGAACATAGAGTGAGATACTTTAATTGAAGAAGGACAAGTTGTTTGAATTAAATTCTTTACAGTTTAAACCTACTATACAAATGTTGGCATAACATATTGCTTACTGTTGACACAGACACGCCCATAATGTGTGCATCAGAGACCATATTTATTGTGCTAGTGCGTTGTGTAAGTGCATCCCATGCATTGTGTTTAGGGTGGTGATAAACAGAAATGGTGGTGCGTTCATACGATGTCTGTCTTTGAAACGTTTGTTAACGCTTATACTTCCTATCCAAAGTGAAAGTTCAGGTTCCCGTGTATATATTTAACAGTATATTACACTACCTCAAAACAAACTGTTAACAAATGCAGTTTAGCGAACTTAACCCAGCATTTCCGATTGTAATATAAGGGAGATAACACTAGGTGGAGGTATATTTTTAGACTGGTTTGTCTGTCGTAGAGCGCATGCACCTTACCGCTGCTGGGACTTTAGGTTACACAACACCAAATGTTTTCCCATAGACTTCTATTGTAAAGTTATATATTTCTTTAAATCATCCAGGCTGTCAACAGCCATTCCATGTACACATGTGTACAGTCTGGACTTTAAACTACAGTAAAAAAAACCCACAAATCCCGGCTAACTTATCGTGCTTATTTTCCGAGCACAGGAAGCTGAACACATCAACCCCATTCCTGCACCAAATGTCGCCAACATGAAAATATCTGTACACACAATAAGCATAAGTCGTGGTGATAAAATGACAGCACTAAATACTTAATATTATTATAGGTTTCTAACTGCTGGATGGATGTGCTTTTAAAACCATAAAAAATCTTACACTATTTCATCCAACCACAGCTGTCACATGTCTCTATCTCTTCAGATGTTTACATACGGTACTCGCTCAGGGCGCATGTCCTTCTCATTTAGTGTAGTGGAACCTGTAAGGACAGTGTACAGGTCTAGCTATGTCGTCTGCTGTCAACATATCCGTGAAGTCTGTTGTGACTATATCCGTGAAACTGTTAGGGGACGATACTGTAGACAACATTATTTTCACGGACCACCCTGTATACATGTGACCGTGACCGCATGTCTGTTTGCACGGGTTAAACCTGAACTTCAGTCACTGTCTTCCACAGTGGGGCGGTGGGTGTAGTATAAAACGTTGTTACACACATGCTTCATTCATTCTTATAGAGAGACACTAAACTCAAGATGAAGAAAACATTGTAAGTCTTTAATGCTTCATTAGGCTAACACCTTCATAGTATATCTCATGTTTACACCTTGTCAAATGATGATCCGTGAAGCATGAGGCCATGTTTACAATTTACGGAACTGAAAGTCTCTGAATGGCTTTGACATTACATTACATTACATGATAACATATCTGTGACAGATACAAAAGTAGTCCCCTTTGTAGTTTTGAGTTTCTTAAGTGTGTTTGGGGATGTTCAATACGTTTAACTACAGCGTTAAGACAAACTCTCTGCAACCCCAGAATCCGGAAAGTGTATCAATATTTGGAAAAAGGTCCACGGAACAGTCCACGGATCAGTTATAAATAGCATTACAATGTTAACGTGTTTCTAGTTTCGTATGCAAGTCATTATAACAATAGATCCGCCGATTCAAACAATCCGTTCTACCCTACATAACGTAGAGATATATCAGAGTTTGCCAGTTTATCTATCGTTGTTGGAGAGAGCGCACTCCGAGTCGCTGTGCTCATGGCAGGTCGAAGATGGAACAAGTTGGCAACCTTCAGAGGACTATGTCACAGCATGAAGAAGAAGCTGTGCTGCTGTGCCTGGCCAGGATATCAGGTAGGTGTCTCCAACTGCCGCTCATATATACTTAATCTACCATGGTCCTACTTGCTTCCTTCCTTCCTTTCTCCCTACCCTCCTCTCCTTAAGTCCTCTATCACATTAGCATCCTCAAATTGAGTTGATTCATTCATAATATTCATAGTAAAGAGTTGACCTATGATGGCATGTGAAGTTACCTATCAAATTCCATTCACACTTGGAATTCAGATTCTCAGGGAAAGAAATCTTTGTTATTAATGACTTCATAATTTTAAGACTCACGCATACTATCACAATGCGGGCGGTGGGAGTAGCCTAGAATAGATTTCAAGAAGGTGAACGTTAGAATATATTCCACATGGAAGATGAATATGAATATGATATATTTGGCGTAAATTACACAATTCTTTGTACTCGTCGTGTCATATGTTGAAGATGCTGTTTTCCCCTGTCCTCAGTTGGTGCCACCAGACGAGGACTGGGAGGACGAGGACCGCCTGACAGAAGATGAAAGAAGGTCGTGTGTGTCAGAGAGGACCCTGTTCCTGGTGTCTCAACACGTGGGCGGGGGTTTCCAGATGCTGGGTCTGAGACTGGGGCTTCCGTACGTCAGTGTGGAGAGGTGCACGCTGTCACAGTCATCGCTTCAGATGCAGATATTTGCCATGCTGAACACGTGGAGACAGCGGAAGGGAAGACGGGCAACTGTTGAAGTCCTGCTTCAAGCCCTGTCTGACAGCATGTCGGTCTGCACGGTGGACATGCCTCATGTCTACAGGGTGATCCGTGAAATGTAACATTATGTGTCACCTTATAAATCCACGTACAGCAAGCAGCTCTCTGGGACTTAGGACATACTTAAATATATTTCAAGTTCACTGCAGTTTTGCGAGATGTTGTTGAGAAGGATAAGTCATCTGCCACTAGTTTCATTGTAATATTTCAGTAATGTCGATGTGTCCCTCCCATGATGTCTTGGAGTCCGTGTAAACGTGGGATATTTTATGAAGGTGTTGACCTAATAAAGTCTTACAATGTTCTTTTTGTGTCATTCTTTAAGTGAGTGAGTGAGTGAGTGAGTGTGTTTTAGGTCGCTTTTAGCAACATTTGAGCAATATCACGATGGAGGACACTAGAAATGGGCTTCACATATTGTACCCATGTGGGGAATCGAACCCGGGTCTTTGGCATGACGATCCAACACTTTAACCACGAGGCTACCCCATCACCCTTTCTCTTTAAGAATGAATGAAGCATGTGAGTGTAACGTACTGTTGAAGACAGTGAATAAAGTTTAAGTTTAACCCGTACAAGCAGATATGCAGTCACATGCCGCATGTACACAGGTTGGTCCGTGAAATGTAACATTACTGGAGACAGACACTACGACATACGACTTCCTGAATGTATAATTACATGTATGAACGACAAGTTTCCTTAATGTTGACCGCATTTGTACGTTACTTTGGTGAGAAAGATAACCCAAATCATTATTTTCTTCAATTGTAAACAGTGTTCATCTATCCCTGCTATGATTTAAAACCTTTACACTTTGGTTTTGTGTATCCACTGGATGTTTGTGAATATATTTCCTGATAAAACTTAAGACTACTGCCAGATGCACCTTTTCTTCATTTTTGTGTAACCGTTGTGGAGAGAATGATCCGAGCAAGGTAACGCAGTTAAAGACAGTGAATAAGTGCGGGTTCACGCCCTGTCTGATAGAATGGCTGTGTTCACTGTAGACTGGCCTCATGTATACAGGTATATCAGATACACAGGGCTACTGAGAATCTGGATACCTAGAACATGATGATGTACTGAATATGCCGTCATACTTCACGACCGGTTACAATTACAATTAGTTGTTGTCATTCAACTGTTACAAAAGGAGCTTACAGTTGTTTATAATTCTGTAGTTAAGTAAGAGTAAACTTTCTTGTTATACATATTTTTTAGTAACTCTACTTTGGAAATTTCGAAATGCGGATAACAACACTGACATGAATGTTCCATTTTGAAGCAGCAGTCGTGGGCTTCTGGTGGACATTACAGACACAGTTGTGGACAGACACACCCACAGACTTCCCCCATGTCCACACACATACACACACACACCCACCCATACCCGAATATAGAAAGCACACGCACACACACACACGCGCGCACGCATCGCACACGTTCGCACACGCATAGCGCAGAGACTGGCTGGGGCGACATGTTACATGTTCTATTAACGTATCATGAACACTGTGCATTGCTATTTGGGGGAATGGGAAGGTATCCGTGAAATGTAACTCACGTAATCAGATTGCTGTTTCTAAATGGCACCAGTTGACATAAATTGTGACTGTGTATTAAAATCTGTTCGTCATGGTGACCATTATGCCACAATTGTCTGTAAACTTATCTGGCAGTGAAGATACGGGTTAGAATTGATCTTCATTTACACATTCTCGTCGTAAAAGGCGACTAACAGGATCGGGTGGTGAGGCTTGCTGACTGGGTTGACCCATGTCATCGGTTCCCAATTGCGCAGATCGATGCTCATGCTGTTGATCACTGGATTGTCTGGTACTGACTGAATTATTTGCAGACGGACGCCATATGACTGGAATATTGCTGAGTGCGGCGTAAAACTAAACTCACTCACTCTGTGAACCTACTGAAACTCGATAAGGGAGCGAAGCCAAACATCCGTTAAATAGCAGCATTGTAATAAGCTTTAGAGAGTCGCCCTTACACGTGTGTGTTCTTTTGTTTGCAAAGAATAATTATGCTGTCGACACAGACCATTGCTCAGTACACTGCTTGTCTAGTTTAAAATGTATCGAAAATACATTTTCAGTGTTAGGTGCGTTTATACAATATTTATAAGAAATAAATTAAACTAAAACAGAGAACTGACTTGTGGACATATTAATGGCGGTGACAGATTGAACATAGAGTGAGATACTTTAATTGAAGAAGGACAAGTTGTTTGAATTAAACTCCTTACAAATACGAAAGTAGTCCCCTTTGTCGTTTTGAGTGTCTGAAGTGTGTTTGGGGATGTTCAATACGTTCAACTACAGCGTTAAGACAAACTCTCTGCAACCCCAGAATCCGGAAAGTGTATCAATATTTGGAACAAGGTCCACGGAACAGTCCACGGATCAGTTATAAATAGCATTACAAAGTTAGTTTCGTATGCAAGTCATTATAACAAAAGATCCGCGGATATTCAAACAATCCGTTCTACCCTACATAACGTAGAGATACATCAGAGTTTGCCAGCGTATCTATCGTTGTGGGAGAGAGCGCAGTTCGAGGCGCTGTGCTCATGGCAGGTCGAAGATGGAACAAGTTGGCAACCTTCAGAGGAATATGTCACAGCATGAAGAAGAAGCTGTGCTGCTGTGCCTGGCCAGGATATCAGGTAGGTGTCTCCAACTGCCGCTCATATATACTTAATCTACCATGGTCCTACTTGCTTCCTTCCCTCCTTTCTCCCTACCCCCCTCTCTCCTTAAGTCCTCTATCACATTAGCATCCTCAAACTGAGCTGATTCATTCATAATATTCATAGTAGAAAGCTGACCTAAGATGGCATGTAAAGTTACCAATCAAATTCCATTCACACTTGGAATTCACATTCTCAGGGAAAGAAAGCTATGTTATTGGTGACTTCATAATTTTAAGACTCACGCATACTATCACATTGCGGGCGGTGGGGTAGCCTAGAATAGATTTCTCATAGAAGGTGAACGTTAGAATATATTCCACACGGAAGATAAATATGAATATGATATATTTGGCGTAAATTACACAATTCTTTGTACTCGTCGTGTCATGTGTTGAAGTTGCTGTTTTCCCCTGTCCTCAGTTGGTGCCACCAGACGAGGACTGGGAGGACGAGGACCGCCTGACAGAAGATGAAAGAGGGTCGTGTGTGTCAGAGAGGACCCTGTTCCTGGTGTCTCAACACGTGGGAGGGGGTTTCCAGATGCTGGGTCTGAGACTGGGGCTTCCGTACGTCAGTGTGGAGAGGTGCACGCTGTCACAGTCATCGCTTCAGATGCAGATATTTGCCATGCTGTATATGTGGAGACAGCGGAAGGGAAGACGGGCAACTGTTGAAGTCCTGCTTCAAGCCCTGTCTGACAGCATGTCGGTCTGCACGGTGGACATGCCTCATGTCTACAGGGTGATCCGTGAAATGTAACATTATGTGTCACCTTATAAATCCACGTACAGCAAGCAGCTCTCTGGGACTTAGGACATACTTAAATATATTTCAAGTTCACTGCAGTTTTGCGAGATGCTGTTGAGAAGGATAAGTCATCTGTCACTAGTTTCATTGTAATATTTCAGTAATGTCGATGTGTCCCTCCCATGATGTCTTGGAGTCCGTGTAAACGTGGGATATTTTATGAAGGTGTTGACCTAATAAAGTCTTACAATGTTCTGTTTTGTGTCTCTCTTTAAGTGAGTGAGTGAGTGAGTGAGTGTGGTTTTAGGTCGCTTTTAGCAACATTTGAGCAAAATCACGATGGAGGACACTAGAAATGGGCTTCACATATTGTACCCATGTGGGGAATCGAACCCGGGTCTTTGGCATGACGATCCAACACTTTAACCACGAGGCTACCCCAAAGCCCTTTCTCTTTAAGAATGAATGAAGCATGTGAGTGTAACGTACTGTTGAAGACAGTGAATAAAGTTTAGGTTTAACATGTACAAGCAGATATGCAGTCACATGCCGCATGTACACAGGTTGGTCCGTGGAATGTAACATTACTAGAGACAGACACTACGACATATGACTTCCTGAATGTATAATTGCATGTATGAACGACAAGTTTCCTTAATGTTGACCTCATTTGTACGTTACTTTGGTGAGAAAGATAACCCAAATCATTTTTTTCTTCGATTGTAAACAGTGTTCATCTATCCCTGCTATGATTTAAAACCTTTACACTTTGGTTTTGTGTATCCACTGGATGTTTGTGAACATATTTCCTGATAAAACTTAAGACTACTGCCAGATGCACCTTTTCTTCATTTTTGTGTAACCGTTGTGGAGAGAATGATCCGTGCAAGGTAACGCAGTTAAAGACAGTGAATAAGTGCGGGTTCACGCCCTGTCTGATAGCATGGCTGTGTTCACTGTAGATTGGCCTCATGTATACAGGTATATCAGATACACAGGGCTACTGAGAATCTGGATACCTAGAACATGATGATGTACTGAATATGCCGTCATACTTCACGACCGGTTACAATTACAATTAGATGTTGTCATTCAACTGTTACAAAAGGAGCTTACAGTTGTTTATAATTCTGTAGTTAAGTAAGAGTAAACTTTCTTGTTATACATATTTTTTAGTAACTTTACTTTGGAAATTTCGAAATGCGGATAACAACACTGACATGAATGTTCCATTTTGAAGCAGCAGTCGTGGGCTTCTGGTGGACATTACAGACACAGTTGTGGACAGACACACTCACAGACTTCCCCCCATGTCCACACACATACACACATACACCCACCCATACCCGAATATAGAAAGCACACGCGCGCACAAACACACACGCGCACGCACGCACGCGCACACACATAGCGCAAAGACTGGCTGGGGCGACATGTCACATGTTCTATTAACGTATCATGAACACTGTGCATTGCTATTTGGGGGAATGGGAAGGTATCCGTGAAATGTAACTCACGTAATCAGATTGATGTTTCTAAATGGCACCAGTTGACATAAATTGTGACTGTGTATTAAAATCTGTTCGTCATGGTGACCATTATGCC